CCTTGATCGTATCAAGAAGAACGGATCACCAGATGAAAGTTCGAGAAATTAACTGCCGAACGGATGTTTTTGCCCACTCTTTTTTCCCCTATACTATTTCCGAGTGGAACCGTCTGGACAGCTCAATTATCAATTCTACTGAAAACATGTTCTCCTCAGTTGTACAAAACTTTTGTTTCCAATAGGTATCTGGAACTTCTATGTTATTTTAGGCTTTCTTGTTATTTCACTTGTTTGTCATGTATTTTCTTTCATGTAACCCCCTACAATAATGCCCCCTGGGCGATGTAGGTATGTGCATAAATAAATAAATCGGTATTTTCTCCGGGACTCTTTGGGTATGTGGTGGAGTCACCGAATAGTTGTTTTACTGGCATGATGGCGGATATTGATATTGATGTTCATGGTATTGCCTCTTTTTTGCGCGGCCTAGATCAGTCAAAGGCTACTGGCCCTGATGGTATATCACCTGTTATTCTCATTAAGTGTTCCGAGATTGTATCACAGTACTTGTCAATTATATTTAAAACGATATTTGAGACAGGGTTGGTCCCAATAGATTGGAAAACGGCGAATGTGATTCCTGTTTTTAAATCCGGAGATAAGAAACTTGTAGAAAATTATAGGCCTATATCACTAACGTCAGTTTGCTCTAAGCTTTTTGAGCATATTTTATATAGCGCAATGTTCAAATATCTTGATAGCTTTAACTTTTTTACTCCATCCCAGCATGGCTTTCGGGGTGAATTTTCATGCAACACGCGGTTAGCAGAGTTCCATCATTACCTATTAAAAGCAAATGACAAAAATACGCAAGTACACGCAGTCTTTCTAGATTTCAGCAAAGCTTTCGACACGGTACCACACAACCTTCTACTGGTAAAACTAGCCTCTTTAAATATTAATAGTAAGGTACTAAATTGTATAAGAAATTACTTAAGTGACCGTGAGCAATGTGTTGTCTTAAATGGAAGTAAATCCTCAGTCATTTCCGTGACTTCAGGGGTCTCCCAGGGTAGTGTTTTTGGACCGTTACTGTTTATAATTTACGTTAACGACATTGTACGAAATATTCAGTCGACAATAAAACTTTTTGCTGCTGATTCCGTTATTTACAGTGAAATAAATTCGACGAGAGACATCGAGATCCTACAGAGCGATCTAGATAAGGTAGCATACTGGTGTATCCAATGGAACATGAGCCTAAATATTGGAAAATGTAACCTCGTTAATTTTGCTAGAAACGTCTCTAAATTTCTTACAAGTTATAGTATCAAAGACCTGACAATCGGTAATGTTTCTGAATGTAAATATCTTGGCGTTTATTTTCACCAATCACTTAAATGGAATAAACATATTGACTACACAATTAATAAGGGCAGTAAAATGTTTTTTATCCGTAGAAATTTCAAACACGCGTCCCGAGATGTAAAAGAAACTCTTTACTTCTTGCACGTTAGGTCAATGCTTGATTATGCGTGCGTTATATGGGACCCCTACCAGCAGTATCTGATCGATAGATTAGAGAAACTTCAAAATCAAGCAGCGCGATTTGTTAGTAACAACTACGATCCATACGCTAGTATGACAGAGGTTAAAACCATGCTGGGATGGGAGCCCTTGAGCATTCGAAGGCAAAAATTAAGAATGAAGTTTTTCCATCGTATTTATTATAATAATACTGGTATTAATAAGAATGAGTATCTTTTGGGGCCAACGTATGTTTCAGCTAGGTGTGATAACTCTAGAAAAGTTTTTGAATATTCCTATAAAACAAACAGCTTCTGTAATTTTTTTTTTGTAAAGACAATTAGAGAGTGGAACTTGCTGCCTGATGATGTGGTGAGCACCTTGGACAACAGTGTATTTTTTTCTCGGCTGTATATCTAATCTGTGTGGGCAAGTGATCACTTTGTTTTTATGTATGTGTGTTATTTCCTGCCCCTCCTACAATATTGCCCTCGAGGCGATGTAGGTACTCTGTAAATAAATAAATAAATAAGACTTGTGAACACTTATGCGTTACATATTGCTATTGTTTGTCTTCTACGTTTCATTACATTTTTTATAGAACTTCGTGTTCTCTAAATTATACAAACCCCATGTGCCACGAGTTGAAAAATACATTGCATTAAGTAAACAAAAAATACATAAGTGGATGAATCAGTACACAAAATAACAATTCGCAGTGACCTTCACCTTCAAACTTCTATAATGCATTAAACTCATGTGAAACCTCTATAATGTAGGAAATGAAGTGAAATGAATTTGATGTTAAGTGAACGGACGTCATGTAACCTATATACCACTTCAATTTCCCGTCTGAATTTGTAGGGGAAGCTTGGTTGGTAGATAGGTCAGGTAACATGAATGTTTCCACCAAATGTAGCGGGGAAACTAAGTAGGAGTATAGGTCATGTGACGTCAGTTCTTCGGGTGAATTTAGCGGGAGAACAAAACTGGTGCATAGGTCACGTGACGTAAATTTATCCGCTAAAGTTAACGGGGAAACTGAATTGGTCTGTAGATCCACTGACGTCAGGTAAAGTGAAATGATAGTTCTCGCAATATTAAAAGGCAACTCCGCTCAATTCCGAAAAAATTTAGGCTTACATGTTATTCCTTTCACAAAGCACTACTAAACAGCTCTACGTCTTCGGATTCGCGAAATGTGGAATATTATTTGTGTAATCCTGATTTAAACATCAGCTGATACCGAAACCGAAACTTCGGTTGCGTCAGGCAACATAGGTCTCGTGAGGTCAGAGTCATGGCCACGTCACGTCGAACCACGTGGTCTTGTGACGTTCGGGAGGGGTCGAGGGACAGGAAACGCGACGCGAGCAGGTCGCTTTGCATGGCGTGGACGGTGATGGCCCGGGGGAGAGCGGGAAGGGGGGAAAACGAAAGAGGAGAGGGGGAGCGGAGAAACAGACCGATAAGCGCGCACGGCAGCGCAAACTAGCGCATCCGCGTTACGGTGATCACGTGGACGCCGTTCAGCCAACACTGGGAGGAGAAACTCACTCGTCATCGTTCAATTTCGCTCTGAGAAGTAAAACAAACAAAACGTGAGAATGACGTAGTCATGCCTCTGACGTAGTGGCTCAACGTTGGCCGCTCCAACTCCGTCGCATTCACTGCGCTGACGATTGCGCCCCACGTCGCACGCTAGAGTTGGCAGATTTCGGCGACTTGGCTCACTTGAAGGTTTGCTGGCCAGTTTATTAAATATATAGACGGAATTAGATCGTAATATTTGACATGGGGGTCTTTCTATATGATACTGAAGAGGCCTACATAGTTTTCTAACTATCAAAAATGAAGCGGAGTTGCCCTTTAAGTAGGGAAACAGGATTGGTGTATAAGTCATCTGACGTCAATGTTTCCGCTAAATTTAGCGGGAAAACTGATTTGGTGTGTAATTGATGTGACCTCGATAGTTTCACTAACTTTTGCGGGGAAACTAATTGGTTTGTAGGTCCAGTGATGTCAGGCCACGTGACATCAAATTTCCGCTAAATTGAGCGGTAAATTCACGGACGAAAGGACGAACCGACGAACGGACAGAGAGACAAAATTTTGGGTTTGGGGATATTGTTAAAAAGCTTTTCATCTGTTAATAAATAAACAATTATTAAGTAAAGAAGTCCACACACAAATAAATAAATAAATAAATACTGTCCGAATTTCGCGCAGAAATTTTAGCCGTTTTCCCGATTTTGAATTTCGTAACAAACATATGTTGGTATTGTTATCAAAAGGGCTTTTATGATTTTTCCTAAACGGAATATCTTCTCTCAGTCGTCTATCTTTCGCTTTAACGGAGTCGATCGCCTCGTTGGCGCTCGCTCATCTCGCTCGACGTCGTCGTCTATCAAAGCCGCGTATATGCTGACCAACGTCTCAATCAACTACCACCTGCCTAATGTTTCTTAGCGCGCTTCAACCGAAAACAAATTCGTATAATTAACCAATAAACGGAGTGTATAAAAAATTCCACAAAGCTGTCTTTTTTCTTCTTTTTTTTTTATGTAAAGGCAGGCAAACGGTAAAAACAGCCAGGTTGACGCTTCTACGCTTCGCTAGTACCACAACCAAATGAATCTGCTGGATCTGCTTTCAGAAATACATCTCAAAGATGCCTTCACGTTTTATGTTGTGCTAGCTGGCCTTCTTCACAATGCCTCTCTAGGAAGACGCGCCGGCCGAAGAGGGCATCGCTCAATAGAAGCGGCGGCCCACCAAGACAGCGTCACAGCCGGCTAATGAAATTCCGGGATAGAGAGAACAGCGTTTGGCTAAGACAGCAGAAGCTAGGTGGGTCCGTACTCCTATGGCCAAGCGCGGAGTGAGCGGTCAATGCTCTTCTCAAGCTAAAAAAAAAAAAAAATCCGTGCAAATCTAGGCACTTTTTCTGAGGTGTGAACGCAAAAGCATCTCTGGCTCGCTGGTGACTCCTGCGTCGCTGCGTGCGGCAGCGGCGAGAATGCGAAGCTCGGCAAGGCGCCGGGTGTGCGAGGCCCGGTGCGGCGTGTGCTGAAATCGCATGCCCTCTCATCATCATCACCGCCCTAGCTGCGGGTACCTGTTAGGGATGTCAGACCTCAAAGCGTAGCGTTAAGCTTCACGTTTGAACTAACGTAAGGCGCGCATACCCGCCCCTCCTCTTCCCCCACCCCTTTCCCGCTGCGCCGGTAGCAGTTCGTCTGGCCCCTTAGCAACTATGACGCCGTTGCTCTGGGGCCACATGACGCGCTGCCGCCAATGGGAATTGGTGCCTTTATACCAAAGACCATTTATTGCTTTCGCATTAATAAACGGGACATGGCCCTTAAAGATGAAACGTCGAAATGATCTCGCATTCAACGTTTCATCTATGAAGTAGTCTGGAGTGAATCAATGCAGGGACAAAGCCCTTTCTTTCTTTTTTTTTATATCAAAGTTTACCTTTGCCTACTTGCTCCATCGCGGGATCCCGACCAACTTCTTACGAAATCTCATCTGCGGGGTGCTGGCGCTGAAACTAAAAAACGCCTCTCTCCCGGCTTCATCAGCTTGGCGATGTTCTTGAGCGCCTGCTCCTGGTCCTTCAGCCAGTTGAGGAGGTGGAGCGCGTAGACGCGGTCGAAGAGGCCGTACCGCCCCACGAATTCAGACAGGTCGTCCGACATAACGTTGAAGGTGTCGTAGAAGATCTTAGGGTGGGAGAAATGCTCCCTCGCATATTTCAGCATGTCCCCCGACATGTCGACGGCGACGAGCCTTCGGCACGGTGGACGTTGGGGCAGCAGCACGTCGCGCGTGATGTTCCCGGGGCCGCAACCAAGGTCCAAGAACTGCTGGTCCTCGGTCGGGCCGCTCGGGAACGACCCTTGAACGGAGCGCAGCACATCGGCAGAGAGCGAAAACCAATTCGCCGCAGTTACGTTAACGTACAGCTCTGGCGTCAGCGTGTATTCGGTGGGTTCGGTGTTTGCCATCGCGGCAGTCTCGAGGCAGGAATGACGGGAGATGCTAAATGGCTGGTGCCACGGCCAGAGGCTCTGATATGAACTCGGATTGTAACTCTGCAAAAGCAAAATATGTCATGTAACGTCAGACCACATGCTTCTTTCCGGGAGGCTCGGCAGCGGCATGTGAGCAAGCGGATTCGGCTTACATGTTCGCCGTCCTTCGATGATCCCGCTGCGTAAATAGACCACAAGGGCGTTTCATTTGAAATCAGACGCAGGTGTCGGGGTGGATAGTTTAGCTTTTGACGTATGCATATACGGAATAGTGCCACGTTTCATATGACCAGAACAGTAAAGGCTGAAACGTGATTTTTTTATCTCCACAAAGGCGGATCAAGAATTGATGCACCATGATGCATGTTCTTAAACTTGCTGTTTTATTGTGCTTTCTTTGTATTTTCATTTTTTTTACTGAGCATGCCATGTTTCGCCGTATAGAGCAGTATTGCTGTATTGCATTGTTGTCTGTTTAACTGTTGAGGGGCAGAGACTCTGTCAGGCTTTGCGCCTTTATCTCTGCGCCTAAACAAAAAAGCACGGCCAGCAAAAAAAAAAAAAAAGAGAAAGGTTTGTCTGTTATGAAGAATAATGTAAAAAGATAACCGTCGCGGCAACTTCTCTTAGGAATGCATTTTTGTCGTCCCCTTTTTTGTCTAAATGAATTCCCTTTTTTACATTTCATTCCAGAAATAACAAACCGTGAAACATCCGTTACTCTTAGTGCTCTAGTGGCATATTCGGAGCCTGGTTTCTAGGATTAATCGCAACTTTTGCTTATTATACCGGGTGTTTTAAAGAAGACTCTCAAGCACACCCAAAAATAATGTGCTTGAGGCGAGCAAACAATTCTTCTTTTTGTGGGCAACAAACTGTTAGCTATGGCAGATGTCAACAAATGTAACAAATTGAAATAAAATCATCTGGTGGGCTTGTTGACAATACATCTAGTTAAATTTAGTGTAAAGTCAAGAGGAGAAGAACGTGAAGATAGAGGCTACTTACAACTGGCGTTTATTACTCAGTGAGAAAGAGGGAGAGAGAAAAAAAACATGTATTTATTTACTGAAAGGTTCGTTTTGTGTCCGCGTTCAGTGTTTCGGTTTGGATGCTCGTACCACAAAGGTGGTTATCGCCATAAGAGAAGCGTCGGCCTCTTTGCCGGCCCACAGCCGCTTTGCTTCTTCGGTGGCGTCTTGGAGAAGGAGCAGCTCTTCTTCCTTTGTCAGAAACGCCCTTATGGGGTTTGTGTCCATCAAGTCCTCTAAAGAAAACGGAGAATTGAAACAGACAAGAAAAAAGTTTGGTAAGGGGTACTGTACAGGACTAGTGATAGGGTTAAACTCCGGAGCTTCGGTTTCGGACTGTTTTAGAAGATTCTAAAACATTTGGACGATATTTCGGTTGTTTCAGTGGTTCAGCTGTTTTGTCGCTATCTAATCAGCATGGTGCTTTTCGGCGTTGTGAATATTTAAAGACTAAACCTTTGATTCATACCGAAATTCGATAAGTTTTTCGTTGATTCTCTGCGTTATTGCAATACACACCCGGTTGCCAGCGGTGTGAGGGGATCCTCGTGCGATCCCCATGTTGAGGCTTGCCGGCGCGTCGAGTCATTGAGCTTGTTCTTAATCCGTGCTCGAAATGACGGTCAAGCTGACGGCAGGAGCTCAATAATAACAGCTTTATGACATCTTGTGAGTGTCCAGAGGTCTGGGTGCATGGCGTAGGCCTCCCGAACATTTCGATCACGAATCGCCTTTGACTGATCAGTGATCTCAATCCACTATGGAAACACGCTGCCAGCGGTCTTCAACGGAGCATTCTACGTGAAAGGCTCCTAACTGTGATGCACGAGCAAGAAACGTCTTTGGGTAAGCAATGAAATAGTATCTTTCTGAAGAACTACGAACAAGTTACAGAACCAGGGCAGCAGACAGTGGCGGGGATTGAAGCAAACCTTCATATTTCGTATTGCGCAAGTAGCTGTAGCTTCATGAAACTCTGTAACCGACATTTGCACCCTGTGCTGCTGTGAAAAAATCGTCGTTCTTTGTGTCTCCTTGGAAATGTACTTAAGTATCCGCTTTGACCGTACACTTACTAAGTTCTCTGGAGCCAACTGTACCTGAATCTAAAATCTTAATTCCTTATAAGCCATGATGGACCTACACATTAACGGAGGTTTCGGGTATCACGTGCGTATATTGTCGATTGAATAACAGTGGTATTGGAGATATTCCGGCACAGTCACTTGCACATCACACCTGTGTTGTGTTTACGGTAATCGCAACGTTCCCGGCACTTGGAACGAACACAACACACGTCGACGAGCTATTGCTGCAAGAAAAGCGAGCCTTGCGATTTGTGATAATCAGTTTCGCCTATCTGCCCTTTTTGTTTTTGTTCACGTGACTACCTGGCTATGGAAATTGTGAAATCAAGACCATTTGGTCCAACGGCACAAAATCTCAATATTTTGTGTCGTGTCGCCAGTTATTTTATTTCTTTTTATATTGGACTTTATTTGGAAAAGTCTATTTCGTTAGGTTAAATATTTATATATTAAGTTTGAATTATTTTATGTGGTTTATAAGCTTCGTTTGTTAAGGAAACTTTACAACACTCAATAATGAGGACTGGCCCCTCCGGCAACTCTCCGAAACTATCCGACACACACCGAGGCTCGGCCGTTCTTTCGAAACTTTCAGAAACCTCTGTTTCGGGTTGGAGGAACAAAGTTTCGCCCATCACCAACGTTACTAATCCACTCAGTTGGGAAACTGCCATAGAGGCTGCTCTGAAAAAGTTTCCCCGATCTGTCCTCGAGCACCGAGCTAATGGCGAACACAACGCCGCCATTTCTCCCGCAGCGGGCACTCGAGTAAGTGCACGTGACTACTATTTTGGCTTTCATCGGCCATTTCGGCGCGGAACCAAATACAGTGGAAGAGGTTACAGGGGTACCGCCCCGGTCTCCCCAGCGGAGGCGCCGCGACTTACTACCGAAGTTAAAATGCACCTAGGTCGGGACGCGCTACCTGAGAGCACCGCTGAGGCATGGTTGTATGAAAACAATATTAATTGTGCCGAAAACCTTGAAAACTATACATAATAAAATCATCACGCGCCCTTTATTTAGTACTAAACTCCAATAAATTTCATACAAAAAGAGTATTTTCCGTTTGTTTTTACGCAAAAACAGGCTTTCTATAAGCTCAAGATGATCATAGTACAGACAAAAGATAAAGAACGGCGCTGTTGTCGTATTTAGCTCGGTCTCGGCGGAGCCAGCGGCCCAGGTTTCGACGGCGAGTTTCCCAACTGAGTGTTTTAGTAACGTCGGTTTCGCCCATCACTATTAAACCCCCCCCCCCCCCCCCCCCCCCCCCCTTCAAGGATTCCGCAGCTCGGGACTCGTGGAGCGAAAGCTCGCACTCTGTTAGACCTCCGGAATCCCGGGGTCCGTCTCCGTATATTGCCGTTTACGATCTAGATGATAACTATACTGGTCTGCGTTTGCTTGATTACTACACAATACAGGTTAAATACCCGAGGTAAGTTGTCGCACCGCATGAAAAACAGAGTAGCTGCGTTCGATTGACCTGCGCCTCCTGCACCGGTGCAGAATATTGTGGGGCAGTGCACTTCCGGTATGTGTATCCAGATACGACCGGAAGTACGCCCCAATATACACTTTCCTCCACCGCTGCAGGAGGTGTAAGCAAATTGAACGCAGCCAATGTCTTTTGTCAGCGAAAACATCAGTCGTCAATTTTAAGACAGTTTCCACTTATAAAGCCTCCAAATAAAATAGTAAATTTGACGTGTGAGGCTTGACTTCTGTGTGAGTTAAAGAAAAAAAAGTTTTCTTGTCATCTGTTTGTTTTTAAGCCGGGAAGTACATTTTGTTTTAAACAAAGAGCAAGTGTATTTTTTTTATCATACTCGAAGCCCAGCTTGTAAATAAAAGTCGTTTATTTATAATCGTAACTATTGGACAAAAACTAGACGTAAAACCCCTCGACTCATATTCACAGACATGATTGAAAGAATGTGCGTGTCTAAGGAAGAGCAAATAATAATTCAAAGTTGCCATTACAGAAGCACGAACGGAAAACACAGAACAAAAACTGTCAAAAGACATAGACTCTTAGTCCTTTTTTAAGTTAGGTATCACAGTATTGCTTACGGATTAAGTCTTCCAGGCTTGCGCGGGTGTCGTAGACGGTACTCCTGAATTCGCACATGGACGGGGTCAAGTTGGCGTTTTTCAGAATGCCTCTCACGTAAGAGACGAGGGCGTCTTTACCAGCAAGGTCTACGGTTGGAGGAGTGCAACTCTCGCAAATCTGAAAAAAGAAGAAAGAAAAAATGCGAAATAAAAAAAGGAGGTACTTCTAACTTCTATTTAATTTGGAACTACCATTTGCCACATCTTTGCTCAGGGTAACTTTTTACCATGCACTAAAGTTGAGTAAACTATCGCTTTCAGAAGAGCAGTTAGTTTTCTGGTAATTAGGTACGCAATTCTGTTGTCTATTTTGCTAAGTTTTTAATTCGAGTTAATAACAGGTTTGTCCACCCTCTTTGGTACGTGTCTTTCAAAATGCAATATAAATATTACACGTAGTTTGTTCTCACAGAAGTTGTCTATAATCAGTCGCTGATAGAATTAATGACATTACTTACAGTTACGGATAAGTTTTTGGAAGTAATTTTGTTTTCCGGATTACATTTTTTGAGAGGACCCGGACTTGAGGGTGCGTTTTTCCGCAATTAATTCATATTTTTATCTCCAGCTTAAATTCGTATAGCTGCGGTACTAATAGGAGGAAATTGCTTTTTTCGCCAATGTGTACTATATCAAACTGTTTTCTTTGTAGCTTTTTGTTCAAGCTGGAACGCATCTATCACCAGTAACCATGTTGCGAGAGATGATGTAATTCAAATGGTTGAACTTTTTCTCGAAGGATCAGAGTAAGATTGAATTTTTGAAAAGAATGCTGTAGAAGGTCAATCCAGCAGAAGCTAAACATTCCGTGTCACACTCAATTTATTTTTAAATTGCCTGCTTGTCCTGAAAGCTTTGCAAGTGGCGTCAACCCACTAGACAGCTCGAAGAAATTTGAATGCTGATGTTGGCATCACCTTAATTTCAATTTCGTTAACTGTCATCCCCAATTTAGGGGTAATGAATAGCATATGATAGAAAAAGTAAAATCCGCATATTAAAAAAAACTGAGTTTGGGTAGCCGAAAAAAACAAACAACTGCTGCTGTTCTTTTTAACTAATTTCGTAAAATAGGTTCGATTTTCATGCCACCTGCTCGGGTGGCACGAAAAAAAAAAAAGACTCGGTGCTCCGCGCCGAGTCTTTTTTTTTTTTTTTTTTAGCAAATAAGCTATCATCATTATCAGTCGCAGATATTACACGGCTACGCGCTACGCTACGCCGGCGGTCGGTGCGCCAGGGCAAGGCACTGTCTTGAGGTGTCAAACAACGTCAAATGTTTTGCGTAGTGTTTTCGTTTGATAGTTTTTTGAAACGATGCACACGATATACCCCGATCTTCAGCAAAACATTAGTTTAGTTTCGGTTTCTAAACTTGGCTTTTAGAAACAAAAAAAAAACAAAAAAACTCACCAGTTATGTGTATTTTGCCGTTTTGCGTTCAAGAGACAATCTGGTATTTCTGTATTGCGTGTGTTATTTCAGTGATGTGCGCCACTACACTCCGTTTCACCTTATGTTGTACCGCAGCGAAGGCTAGAAGCGCGAGCTCATAGCGTTGACAGCTGCCCTTACTGCACGAGAGCTTGTGCCGCCGAGATCGGCCCGAGAGCTAGGAGCTCGCTCTTGTAGCCTTTCCTGCAGTACAACACAAGGTGAAACAGAGTATAGGGAATATTGACTGGCGGCCATAGCTGTATGCGCGAATGCTGAGCGCGTGCTGGTGACTAGCTTCCACAGTTATTCTGCAACGTGCATTCCGCACCATAAAAAGTGGCGGTCTTAGGAGCCTATTGATGTGAGCTCGTTCTGAGCATGCGCTCAAAACAGCACCCACAAATATGGCGTCTAGTGAATACTCCCTATAGTATGGCGTAGTTTTGAATTGTGTATCGTATAAACGAGGAAACACTATTGTTCTTTCTTTTAAGGCGCCACTGGCTCTTGGCCAGCAAAGCATTTTGTCTTTAGTCTTTCACCTTTATTAATTTGGATCTGGAGAGACGCGGCACCGCGGAAACGCAGCAGCCCGTACCACGGAGGCCCGCGGTGTCGCGTCTAGTGAACATGATGATGTGATGAGTATATACATGCAAGATGACGACGACATGGATTGTTGGTACTGGGGAGTGGGGAGGATGGCAGTCCGATTCGTAAAGTCCAGATTTCGTGGAAGCGGGTTGGGCGGGTCAGTAGTGGGACCTGGCACGCCGTTTCTGGGTGAATGCGGACCCATAAACAAATGTCATATGGTGGACTTTAGAATATCCTTGCTATGGTCGGCTCAAGCAATTTTGCCCAATTATCTTCAGCTTTCTATATAACTGTATTTAGCTTTCTCTAGAGTCGATCCTATGGCTATATATAGATACATTTATGGCTCTACCGTTGGTTTTTCACGCAGCCATTTTTTTTATTGTGGTTAGGTAACATATTTCGATTTCAAATAGTTGCAAATGGGCAGGGAAATATATATAAAAGAATTGTTTTCAAATTTTCTAGAAGTGTATAATACATGAAGCTTATACCGCAGACAAGCGCTAGCGTGCAAGCGATATAGGAAACGTGAAGAGTAATACTAAGCTTGTATAAAACTGTAAAAATTGTAAAGCAATCAAGAACCGGGGCAATCCCTGGATAGTGATTATTCGCTCGGCTGCCGAGAAAATGATTCCCTCTAAATTCTACCGGCAGATGCGTCTCATTGGCGGTGGCAGTCAGTTCATCCAACGACGTTACATCGACAGAGTGTGTTATAGACACCTCAGATTACCTTTCTTTTCTGTAATAAGTCACCCCAGGCTCTTCCCGGGAATGGCGTGAACGGGTAGGTTAGGTGGATTAACATTTTTGTAACTTGACGTCGCAGACTGCAGCCGCCAAGCGTCGTGTCTGGGTAGGCCGGGCCAATGAATACGCGCCCTTGTGTTATAGACGCGACGGAATGTCCCTACAGCGTGCATTTAGCTTAACGGGTGTCGATGATACGTTAGTGTCGAAGAAGCGTGTGTTCATGAAACATGTATCTACGAACACTTGTCGATGAAACGTGTTTGCACGAAATGCCAAGAGAATAAGAAACTCAGTATTTTTCCGGCAGTTGTCACATGAATTCATAGAGCGAATGGAAGTCGACTTCCGGTAGAATAGGCTTATTTCAAAACTTGAAGCGCCTCATCGCGGCGTGATGCCACTTCATGCATGGGGAGAATCAGTGGGCAGCACCATCCATACGCGCTCCGCTCCTGGCCCAAAAGTTCCGAGAACTCAGCGAGCGTGGTGCCGGATTTATGGAAGTAGTCTCTTCCGGAGAAGTTATCCTCTCGGCTGCATGCAGAATATACACTGCCTAATTTCAGAAATAATCTAGAAGAGTACCCATAGATGTGCAGTCAATCGTTTTCAAGAAGCAGGTTGCAGTGTACTTTCGATGAACATAGCGGACTGAAAAGGTGTAATCTGATATACATGTTGACGCGTGAATTGCAGAACAACCACACAAAGATGATAACGAAGTGATCCTTGAAGATTCAACACGATGTGGCACAAGCTGTCACTCATTGAACCAAACACCAAACGCATTACCCCAATTTATTTGAAGAATTCGCTTTTTGTCAATCTACGTGTAAGACTTTTCGAACACTAAAGGCTTTGTACTCTTCGAATACGTTGTCGTGAACGGTATACAATTTACCACCGAAATTCACGGCCGCCCCACAGGCCGCAGCACACGCGAGACTAGGTTAGCGAGCTGTGTTCCCGAGATCGGAAATAGATACTGTGTAATCCGGCAATCTTTACCACGTGATCATGGTTCTTTCGGTATCCGCGCGTCAAGAGTGGAATCAAGTGATAAAAAGCAGACAGTTGATTGATACGGCGAGCACGCACCTTCTACAACGCTTTCAGCTTAGGGAAGGAGAGAGAGCTAGAAAGAGTAGACTAGGACAGCATGACCTCTTTCAAGGTCAAAACGGGGGTGCGCTGACAAAAACGCTAATCTTCAGGAGGCATCACAACAAAGAACATAGCTAAAGGGTTTGTCACTTGTATTCTTTAGGGTGCCTCCATGTCCAGCTTTGCTAAGGGTGGCGCCAATTGTCCGTTCCCCTCTCTCATATCCTCTCCCGACGCTATTTAATAACCGCTACATTTCCGTAGAAACTTTCGAGCAACATTGAGATTGTACGACTTGGGGCACAGAGAACGCTGGGTAGCCGCTTTCGCGAACGGGCTGTAAACTTCGCTTGCTTGATGGCACAACCTTCAACCCAATACGAAGAATATACCTGTAGAAGAACTTGTAGTTGGCCTAGTTGGTGAACGTTGGAAATCACGGTGTAAGACGAAAAAAAAAACGGACACAGAAGAAAAATTAGACATACAGGCGCCACTCACAACTATATTTGAAAAGTGCAGAAGGAAAGGAATACATATTTCGTCATCGTCATCACGTCCACGCATCCGCTTAGCCATGTGATATCCGCCTCATCACCCTTTTACAAAAACTTATCAAATAATCAAATCTCGGCATTATAGTGTGCAATAGGTGTGTCACTTAGGCATTGTGTACCACTTCTTCTGATAAAGTACGGATCCAATATCTCGCACGCTTTTTTGCAGTTGCCTTTGCCCAGAATTTCTCTCAGAATGATAAGGCTCACACCCACACTTCCTGCAGGGTTCAGGCAAATACCCCCCTCATTCCTCTCTAGATTTTGCGCGTGCTCCCCTAGTCCATCGTTTGGACATCTGCCCGTCTGTCCTACGTAGAACATACCATACGTAAGAAGGATTTCATAAACCACCCCCGTGACAATATCAGCACATGGCTTGGCATGTTCTTTTTGGAATCCTGCAGAAAAGCTCAACGGAGAAAAGCTCAGCGGAGAAAAGCTCAGCGGAGAAACGCTCACCGGAGATACGCTCACCGGAGAAAAGCTCACCGCAAAACCGGCGGATGCGAAGAAAATCTCACCGGCTATTGAGCGTATGCGGAGAAAAGCTCACCGATTTGTTTACTTCTTTTTATATGGAGGCTGTTGGATTATGCGTAACATATATCAATTTATTTTCATTAAAACTCCTCAGCGTTGTAAAAAAGAAACTGTCCTTTTT